AAAGAAGAGAGACAAAGAATGGAGGAGAAAAATAATTGAAGAAATATTGGCTAAAAATTTTTCAATTTTGTTCAAAAATATCATTCCACAGATTCAGGAACCTCAGTGATCCCCAAGCAGGATAAATACAAAATAAACCACGTCTGGTATGATGTAGTTAAAATCCTAAAACAACAACAACAACAACAACAACAACAGCAACAACATCTTAAAAGTAATCAGGAGAGAAGAGGCATAATACATAGAGAGGAGCAATGAAAAAATTTTGACTGATTTCTCATCAAAAACAGGCCAGAAGATGGTGGAATACCCTTGAAATGGTTGGGGGGGGAAACACACTACAAGGTGGAATTCTACACATGGCCAAAATATGTTTCAAAAATAAAGACAAAATTAACACTTCTTACAGATAAATGAAAATGGACACCACTTACCACAAGTGAACTCATACTAAAAGAAATAATAAAGAAAGTTCTTCTGCCTGAAGAGAAATGATAGCAAATGGAAATTCAGATCTACACAAAAGAATGGTGAACAGGGAAAATGATATACATGTGGGTAAATATAAAATGTTTTCTTTTTTTCTTAACTTCTTCGAAAATTAATGGGATCCTTAAGGCATAAATAGTAACAGTGTACCTACCATGGTGTTTATAACAGATGTAATAGTAAAATATATGACAGCAATAGCATAAAGGACAGGAAGGGATGGAAATAGAATTATATGTGGAGTGGTATTATATTAATTCAAGATAGATTCTGATAAGGATGAAAACTGTAAATCCTAGAGCAACAAGTTAAAAAAATAATAATACAAAGAGGTATAAATCAAAAGCCAATTGAGGAGATGGAATGATCACCTAAAACAATACTCAGTTACCCCAAAAGGAGTCAAGGAAGGTAGAACAAAGGAAGAAATAGCAGTGGGGACAAAAAGGAAACAAAGAGCAAGATAGTAGACTTCAACTTAACTGTATCAAAAATACTATTAAATGTAAATGCATTAAACCCTCCAATTAAAACACAGAGATTGTCAAGGTAAAACAGCAGTACTCAAATAGGCTGTTTACAGGAAATGTACCTTAAATATAAAAATATTCTGATGGGCTAAAAGCAAAAGGTGGACCAAAAAAAATTAAAGAATGGGAAAAGATAAACAGTAAGTATAAGAAAGCTGGTATGACTATCTTATACAAAGTAAACCTCAAGACAAATATATTGCATGAGATAAAGAGAGTTATTTCACAATGATAACAGAATCAATCCCTCAAGAAGATATCGTGATCTTAAATGTGTAGGTGCCTCATGGTACGTTTCAAAAACACAAGGGGCAAAAATAGCCCTAAAGGGAAACATGGACAAATCTATAGTCCTAGTTAGAGAGTTGAACACTTCTCTCTCAGCAATTGATGAATAACTAGACAAAAACTCAGTAAAACTATAGAAGATTGGAGCAACACTATCCAACAACTTGACCTAATTGCCTTTTATAAAACACCTACACCAACTATTACAGAATACACATGCTTTTCAAGTGCACATGAAACATTCACCAAGATATACCATACGCTGCACTGTAACTCAATCTCAGTAAATTTTAAAGGAACATGGATAGTACATTTCCTGATCAAAGCATAATTAAATTAGAAATCAAAAACAACAAGGAAAGAGAGAACACCAGTTACTAACATCAGAAACGAAAGACAGGACGTTACTACCAATTTTTCAGACATTTAAAAAGTGATAAGAATATTATACACAACTGTATGCTAATAAATTCAACCACTTAGATGAAATGGACAAATTCCTTGGAAAACAGCACAACGGAACCACCACAAGAAGAAATGGGAAGTCTGAATGTCTCTAAATCCACTAAAGGAATTGAATTCATAATTAAAAATCATCACACACACACACACCATCACCAAGTCCAGATGGCTTCACATTTAGGACAGGAATGATACCAAGCCTATACAAACTGAGAAAATAGAGAAAGAGGAAAGGAAACAATTTATAATTTTGTTTATGAAGTTAGCATAACCACAATACCAAACCTAACTGAGACATCACAAGAAAAGCAAATTAAATACAATATCATTCATGAGCATAGACACAGAAATCTTCCACAAGACATTCGTAGGTTAAATACAGCAACAATATAAAGAGGATAATAAATAAACCATGACCAAGTGGGGCTTGTGCCAGAAATGCAAGGTGGGTTCAGCATCTACAGATCAATCCGTATCATTCACCATATTAACAGAACAAAGGAGGAAAATCATGTGATCATCTCAGTAGAAACAGGACACACATTTGTCAAAACTCAATACCCAGTAAAGGTAAAAGTGCTCAGCAAACTAGAAACAGGAGAGAACTTTCTCAATCTGACAAGGGCCTCTAGGGAAAAAATATATATATATATACCTAACACATTTAATAATGAAGTAATGAACCCTTTCCTCCTATGATCAGGAACAAGGTAAGGATATCTTCTCCCTTCAGTTTTTTCCAACGTTACACAGTATACAGTTTCTGGCCAATGCTCTGAAGCAAGAAAAAGAAATAAAAAATAAAGACCAGAAAGGAAGAAGTAAAATTCAGCAATAAAAAGGAATGAACTACTGAGACATGCATGAGCATGAATGAATCTTGGAAACATTCTGCTGAGAGAAAGAAGCCAGACACAAAAGGGTGCATGCTGTATGCTTCTATTTATATAAAATCCTAGACCAGGCAAAGCCAATTTATGACAGAAAGCAGATCGGTGATGGCCTGAGGGCTGGGGAGGGGACTTTGGGGGGTTAATGGAGATGCTCCGTATCTTGATTGGAATGCTTGTTACCAGGGTGTACACGCTTGTAAAAATTCATTAAATTGTCCATTAAAGTTGAGACATTTTATTATTTGTAAATGACATCTTAATGAGGGATTTTTAAAAGTAGGAAAAATATACACCATTAAAAAAATGAAAAGTCAGCCCCAAACTATGGGAGGTAGAGAGAAAATATTCTCAGTACCTGCTATCTGACAGGGGACTTGTATCCAGAACATATGGAGAACTCTTACAGCTTAATAATAAAAGTAAAAAGTAAGCAAGTTGTTTTAATGGGCAAAAGACTTGAAAAGACATGTCACAAAAGATAATATATGAATGGCCAATTAGCACATAAAATTGCACTCAAGATCATCAATCAGCAGAAAGCCACAAATAGAAACAACAATGAGATATAACTATACCCCTACATGAATGTCTAAAATTAGAAATGTGGACAAAATCAAGATTTGGCAAGGGTACAGCATAACTGGAACTCTCATACGCTCCTGGTGGTAATGAAAGACCGTACTAGCACTGTGGATAACAGTTTCACCGTTTCATATAAAAAGTTACCCCGAGACCTATTTAACAAACCAGCTACTCTCCTAGCCGGTTCCCTAAGAGAAATGAAAGTATGTGTCCAAAAACTGAACTGACTTGTCCATAAATGTTAACAGGGACTTTTTCATAATTACCAAAAACTGGAAACAATCCAAGGGCCCGTCATCAGGTGAATGGATACAGATTGTGGTATACTTATACACTGGGAAACCATTCAGCGATTTAAAAAAAAAAAAAAAAAAAAATGAACTAAGGCACACAACCGTGTGGATAAATCTCAAAAACATTATGTTGAGCCAAAGAAGCCGGACACAAAAGAATACTCTGTAGGTTCTCATTTACATGAAGGTTGAGAACAGCCAAAGCCAACCTAGGGTGGTAGAATCCGTAACAGAGATTGGCTGGGTGGATGGGTGGGGGTGGGTTGGAAAGGGAGAGGAAGGAATTCTGTGGAGTGATTTTCAATGTCTTGGGTCTTACAGTGCCTGGGTGGCTCAGTAGGTTGAGCAACTGACTCTTGATTTTGGCTCAGGTCATGATCTCATGGTTGGCATCAAACCCCACGTCCAGCTCTATACTGATAGTGCAGGACCTGCTTAGAATTTTCTCTCTCTGCCCCTCCCCTGCTCACACGTGTGCACACACTCTCTCTCAAAATAAATAAGTAAACTTTTTTTTAAATGTCTTAGGTCTTGATTTAAGTGGTAGGTTCACAAGTGTATACATTTTTTTTTTTTATTTTAATGTTTATTTACTTGAGAGAGAGAGAGCAGGGGAGGGGCAGAGAGAGACACACACACAGAATCCAAAGCAGGCTCCAGGCTCTGAGCTGTCAGCATAGAGCCTGACACGGGGCTTGAACTCACAGACCGTGAGATCATGACCTGAGCCAAAGTCAGACACTCAACCAACTGAGCCACCCAGGCGCCCCAGTCAAGTGTATACATTTTTTAGAATTTGTTGAACTGTGCTCTAAAAACTTGCATTTTGTTGCATTTTTTTTCTCCAATTAAATAAAAAAGATAAATATAAAGGATTTAGTTCGGGGCTTCACACATAAGTGCTCACAGCCATTCATTTCCCTCGCCCTTCACCTTCCCCAGTCCCAACAGGCATATACCATAGGCATGACAGCATTCTATGGACATTGGACCTCTGAGAATAAGGACATTTTCCCCAAAGGAGTTCATCCATAGCATGACACAGGAGGAGTGCTCTAGTCTGGGCCACAGATCATAAATAACATTGATTATGCCATTTCTTCCTGGACCCTCTGAAGGTTCTGGCCCCCAAGTCTAGGTCCGGGGTCCCAATGTTCCCAGCCAAGAAGGTAGAATTTAGTTGGGTCATTCCAAGAGTTTGGAGATGACAAAGTATGGAGGTAGAAAGACACATGGCAAATGTAAGAGACTTCGAGACTGGCCTTTATGAGAAGGGTATACGAGACAGGAAAATGAGTATTGGAGGCAGATGTGGAAAGCCTATGAGGTCAATGGAGCTAGATTGTCCTGTAGCAGATGGTCAATAATCGTTTGTTGATTGAATAAGTAAGTGAATGCGCTATTAAGGCTGTCGATGCTGAACCTCCAGGGCTGACTGCTGCCCCCACCTTCCTGTCTTGCAGCTCACATACCTGCCCCCACCTTGGGGTGAGTGCCGATCCTCAGAGATGGGACTCGACTTCTTTCCTGTTTACAGCATCACCGCCTGTCGGATCGACTGTGAGACGCGCTACATCGTGGAGAATTGCAACTGTCGTATGGTGCACATGCCAGGTCAGTGCCAAGGGACAGCCTGAGACCTTCTGTGCCCTTCTCACCCTAGCGGGAACCACTGTACCCACTCCACGAGGACCCACAGAGATGCTGTTCTGGGAAAGGCTAGTACTTGGTCCCAAACACGTGGACGGCAGATGGAAACAACCAGTCTAGCAACCAGGGCAGCATCCTGGTGTCCAGAAGTGTCCAGATGTTTAAAGAATGCTCCTGCCGGTGCTCAACGTGCTTGTTAATTGTTTGCTGCTCTTACCTCCTAGGGTTCAGTGTCCAGGTATTGGAGCCCTTGCAATTCTTGAATCCTGGTGTGGCACCTGTTCAAACATCCAGGTGTCTGTTGCTTTCATCCAGATGGTTTCCTTCTCGCATCCAAATGTCTAGCACTCTTTCAGATGAGGCAAAAGTCCCTCAGCTGGCAAATAGATGCTCATGTGCTGATATTTCTGGTGTCGGACTAACAATGCATGTAGCCATCTTATTAGAGGTAGTCGGCTAATCAGAGGCAGGAGCACGAGGGGTGGGGTGGGGGTGCAGGGGAGGGGGCATGGCGTGAGGGCTAATTCAAGCATGAAGAGTTTGGTTTCGCAGCAGAGAAGGAAGGATGACAAGCTGGGAGGAAGGGACCTTGGCTTCTAATTCAGATTCCTCCACTTTTCTGCTGTGTGACCTGGCCCAAGTTACTAAATCTCTCTGTTCTTACCTTCATTATCTCTAAAATACAATCATTAGTTGTTAGGAGGATAAAATTAGGCTAAAATATAAAAGTGCAAAAGTCAGTGGTCATTTTATTAGCACATGCGGAGAGGAACCAAAAGTAGTATTGACTGATGATCTACTATGTGTTGGGAGCTTTGCTATCCTATTCAATGGCTACCATTTCATAGCCATATCATACTTTATTTAAGTTTATTTAACTAAATCCTTATATCAGACATTTAATTCATTACCAATTGTTTTCTTTTATAACCAATGCTCAGATTTAGCTTATAGCTAAACTCTATTTCATCAGTAATCAGTAATTTTTTCTAGAAATCCAATTGTATAATTGTTGATCTTTAAAATTGCCTCTGAGCTTCCCAGAAGACAGAGCAAAAAGAGAAACACCAGTTACATTGTTATTGTTGGAAAGAAGGAAGCATACCAGCTCTCAGCTCTTGAAAAGGGTGTTTAGGGAAATAGTAAGGAAAGGACATTGTGGTAGGTTTAATTTTAGCACCCGGGAAAAAAAAAGGCTGGGCCGGGTTTTGCGGGGGGGGGGGCATCTGGATTTCTACTGAGACACCATAGAGAAGGATACAGCACTGGTGAATGTTACCTGCCTGATGCTCAGACTGGATCACCAGCCAGTAAGGTTCCCCCATGGAACCTGAGCCAAAAGCAAGCAGTAGAGGTTTTAACCGTTCTACCCATGACATTCTTACTGGCATCTCTGTTACCGAATTAAGGGCAAGAAACTTACAAAGTGGGGCTTGTTCACAGACAGCAGAGGTGTGGCCCTGGCCTCGGGGTCAGACTGGTCAGACCAGTGTATTCAAAACCCATCTCGATCACTGCTAGCTCTGATGTCCTGGGAAGGCAGGATACTTTAACCTCAAGACTCTCAGGGGTGAAACAGACACAGTATTTCCTATTTCCGGAGGTACCGTGTGAGTTAAAGGCGAAGATGTGTGCCTGGAGGTAGAGGTGCTTTCTGCCAGTCTCTACTTTCAGCCACCAAGGCTTTCTCACCTGTCACCCACCTGAGCTAGTTGGGCCAGCGCAGCAATCTGGGAGAAGTTAGCTAGGCAGACCCTATATTCACCTGCCCAAGCTCCCAGAGCAGAGCAGACCTAATTCCCTGGCTCTGGGTAACACTGCGCCCCCACTTGCCCCCAGCTCTTATGGGTGATTCCCTTCTGACTGCCGGGGGACTGCTGCTCCTCCCCGGTTGCAGGATGCATTCCCTTTTCCCAGCCCAGGAGGGAGGGGTTGCTGCCTGAGTACGTCTCCTTGTGTCTCTTCTTTGCAGGGGATGCCCCTTTCTGTACTCCTGAGCAGCACAAGGAGTGCGCAGAGCCTGCCCTAGGTCAGTACTGGGGGACAAAGGGAGTGGGAGCTGAGCTTGAGACCTCAGAGGTGTTCTGGGTGTGGGAGAGATAGGGCGGAAGGGGCACCAGAGGTGGGGAGGAGAGGCTGGCTGGGGCTTCGGCACTGTAGGAGCTGGAGAGGAAGGTGGAGAGGAGGCAGGAGCGAGGGAGGGGAGGAAACTGATGCAGGCGGATGAGGGCTGGCAAGGCACTGGGGGAGTGAGAGGAAGTAGAGAGGTGCGGTAGAGAAGGGGTGGGTTTCAGGGGAATGGAGAGCACTGGGGAGCACAGAGGAAGGGACAGAGATGGAGAGAGGATGAATGAACAGTAGACATCCGGGTGGGCACCGAAGGAGGTAGGGGAGGGGGGAAGGGGCAGCTGCTGTGCATTTCCCCCTCCTCCTCCTCTGGCTGGGTGCTCGTGGGTTGGAATAACTGCTGGAATCCCCCACTGGAAAACTGCAGGTGCAGGAGATCCGACAAACGAGCCACAACCCCAAATCTAGACTCACTCCACCTGCCTGCCTCTCTCTGCACCTGGGAAGTGGTCTATGATCAAGACGAGCAGAGAGCATGTTTAAATCATAGGGACTCAAGTTCGTTCAGCAGCTGCACTTGCTGGAGCTAAGCTAGGACAGCTCTGGACTCCTGTGTCCAGATGCTTCCAGAAGGACTGATCGTGGGGGGGAGGCGCCGGCCTTAGAGAAGAGTGAAAGATGTGTACAAAGACATCTCTCCTTGGAGTATGGAATCCCGTGGGTAACACTGCCATGATCAGAGAGACGGAGGGAAGGAAGCGATATCTTTAGCCACCCCTTCCTAAGTGGAAGACAGGAGCAGAAAAGATGCGGGAGGTTGCTTCTAGGGACCGGAACTGAGAATCTTTGCCTGCACCCTACCCCAGCAGGCACCGGAGGCAGGCTCTGGCTAGGAAGGAGCCTCAGAGGGAATACCACTGAGCCCTGGGTTTTAGATTAAATGTTCTCTCATGTTTGCCCGTGACGGGAGGCCCACTTTGTGGATGAGAACACTGAGTCTAGGAGCAGAGAAGGCTCTGGGAAGCTGAAGGGGCCAGGACTCCTGTGGAACCCATTCTCCAAAAGTGGTGCCTTTCAACAATTTTTAAAGGACAACATAACAATAAAGGAAGTGGAAGGAGAACAGGACCAAGAGAGACACATAGAGTGGGCACTTTTCATGAGCGTTCACACCCTCACCAATCTATAGCCAAAGCCCAGCTCCCCTCATCTCCACAGCCCCGCCCCTCACTTCCCGGGGATGGCCCCTCCTCCCAGCTTCCGCAACCCCACCTCCCCAGCGGCTGGAACCCGGCGGCCC